AAATAAACCCTTCTGCTCATATTTAAATGAGGTATGGTGCATACATTATGCATTACAATGCATGCATTTAGAAAAATATATWTATCCACACAAATTTATGTAACTTTCTGCCTGGGCTAAAAGCATTCGACTCTCAAAGCTCAGCACTATTTGCCACACAGTTTAGTTTAAATTATTATTATTTCCTGAGAAATGGTGGTATTTGAGACTCAGGGAAAAAAAATAAAATGGAGATATGTAATCTGCTGCACTGTTGCTTTCACAAAAAGTATAATTCATCCCAATTTCAATGATGAGTTTCAGACAATGTTGCATTTGCAAATAAATTGTATTTGCTGATGCAACAATGCATAAGTGCAAATGCATGGACGCTTGCAGAATATTTCAGCAGATAGAGCTTTTATCTGTAAATTAACAAATAAAACCTAAAGCAGTTATTTAGAAAAAAAATACATTAATAACTAATGACCCCTACCTTTAGTTTCTTGACTTACAGCAGGTCTGCATGAAGTGAGGGAATGGTGAGGAGCTGAAAGGTGAGGAGCTGAAAGGTGAGGAGCTGAAAGAAGCAACAGTGTTCCTCCTGTAGTTCAGGTCTCTTCTTTAATGTTTTAAATAAAAATAAAAAGTTGCAGCTCATGAAGCACAAAATGTATTTTATTGATTTAAGAATGTCATCCTGAAGGTGCATCCTCTCTGATACAATGAGCCCGTGTCCAAGCAGTTGTAAGCAGTCCCTCATTGACAGAACACATTTTGTGCCTGATGTGTTGATAACTGACAGTTATATTTAGATTGCACAGCAGGTTTGCTGCATTCTGCTGCCTGGTGTGAAAATGTAGTGCAAATTGCTTACACCTATCGAAGTGGATCAGTGTGTTTGGAGCAGCATAAATTTAGTACTATTTGCTTTGAGAATAGCACACTGAGAAGYAGAAAACAGAGGGTTCAAATGATGTGCCAAAAATGAGCCTAAAAATAGRCGCTGTGCAGAAGCAGACGTGTGTACTGTAAGTGGTTTTATTTACTGGTTTTCTTGCAAAAATCTTATTTTTGATGGCACAATTTGGTCCATGATCAAATGTGTCGATACGTGAAAAATTAAGGAAGTGTTTATAGAAGTTCAGAATCCACAGAGGGTGTGATTTCTGATTACTTTTCTACTTTTACAACGTTTTACTATACTTAGCTGTCATAGACGTTATGGGGCTTCAACACCACATCCTGAAATTCTGCAAACCCCTTGAAAAAAACTGAATCAAAGCAGTTAACCTTAATGCAAATTAAATTAAGTTTGAAGAGTGTTTGCATGTCTGCAATAATTATGTCATTAATTAGTGGCAGCAAGAAGAGATATTTCAATTCTTGCTTGCAGGACTCAACATTGAAARTATCGGTTTACAAAGTAATCAAATACAGTTCCACACACACCCCTCACCTGCCTTATAATTTCACTCRGTGTGTTATCTCCTACATTCTCTGCGTAATAACAAGTCCCCTGCTTTGATGCTCTTTAAATGGCACTGGCTGGATGAGTGGTCACAGATATGGAAGGGGGGAAACCACACGGACCTGCATAATGACAATGTCTGTGGATTTGATAAATCCTTTTCTCGTGGGCACTGGAGCCACCCTTGCGGAAAATGTGATTACACTTCTCCATGGGAGGTGTAGTTAGGGTTTTTTTTCCAGTGAAGAAACCTGTTTTGTCATTAAAACCCATGTTTGTGTCCGCAGCAAGCAGGCTAACAACTCTGACATGCGTATAATGTCTGGAGCAAAAAAATAAAGGAGATTTTTTTGGCCTACTGTTGAAGCTGAGAGTGAACAGATGCTAATGATTCAATGATGTGTAATGGGTTACAGCATGTGTTGGAGTTGTTTCGCTGTAAAATGAGTGTATAAAGTGAGTAAAACACTAACATACTGTGGTCACAATGTGTGTTTTTAGTTCAAGCCAGATTGCTAATTGGCTGCCAGCAGATTTRGCTCTCTTTTTTTCAGAAAGCCCAAACAAACTCACTGTCATGGTTTGTGGCTTCTGTTGCATTCAGATTTTGTTTTCTCTGGTTTCTACAGTCGATGCTGTGTTTTGTTGTCTCCATGTGTTGGTCTTGGTTTTTTGCAGGTCCATTGCTTATGATGAAGTGCCTGTTCTGGGTTTTGTGTTCTGTTTTCTTCCATTGCTGTTTTATTTTCTAGAGCAGGTTTTCATTGCACAAGACAGTTAGTTTTGCTTCATGTTTCTTGTTGCACTCTTCAGTCAAACTGTCATTTTTTATTTTTTTATTTTTTATTTTTTTGGCAAGACAAGTTACTGAGTCGATTGACCTTGAGGTTTTGAGGTGGCAGGCCTGATAAAAGCCGGTTGAAGTAAATGCTAAATTAAAAAAAGGGGGTTAAGTGGTGTTTTTCATTATTATCTCCTTTAACAAAGAAAGAAACTTGACCTTCCTTTAAGAGAAGGCTGCAGATCATCATAACTCATAATACTACTTCAAATTCTTGTTCATAGTCTTACTAAATGGCTATTATATGAATAAATCAGGGCAGTAATGTGAGTATCATGAGCAAGTTTCAAGCCTTTTTAAGACTTGAATGTGTTTGAACCATTTTTACTCTTTTTAAATTACAAACTTTCATAT